GTTGTAGGTAGCTCTCCCGAAGCAGCCGGCAGCTCCCCGCTTCCGAGGCTCCGGGTGGGGTCCCCTTCCCCCAGCCGGGAAGGGGGCGATTGATCCATCTGTCGATGGGCCGGGCTTACTGGCGTGTTTTAGGCACGGAATTTACAATAAACGCGCAGAAACACCAGAAAGGAAGCGTCAGGCTGGGAAAGGGCTGAAGGAAATGTGTGGTTGCAGACACGTTCCGGCGAGAAGGGGGAGGCGGCGGAGGACACACCCACGCACGCCGGGCACCCCACTTCACGCTCCCTCCGGACACCTCCTTAGCTAGGTGAGCGCTGCCTGCATCCCTCCGCTCCGGCGCACACATTCCTTCACGCAGCTCCGCGCGCACCCCGTGTGCGGTGGTGGGGTGCGCGCCGTGCCTCGTAAACTTTCCGCCCTACCCAACCTCGGATCTGAGCTCGATCCCAGGTGCCGTTGGCGGCGCCTTTTAAGATGCGTTTTTAAATGAACAAGACTCTGGCGAAGAGCGAGTGCTAGAAACCGATCTGGGCGTGAAGGGAGGGGTCGCTCACACCAGCAGCCTTCGCGGGTGGGAAAGCTAGAGGGAGCAACTTCCATCTTGCGGATTGGTGGTCGCGCGGCTTCCCCAGCCTGGGAAGCTCGGGCCGCAGGGCTCCCCCGAACGCCTCTTCTCACCTGGCGCATCCTGGGGCGTCGGCCCTCGCTCTCCTGTGCCCCGGGCCATTGACAGGTGTCCTGAAGGCGCGGCCCCGCCTGTTAGTGTTGGACCTGCCAAGAGGGCTTGGGGAGTGGAGCTGGGGAGAGCCCTGTTTGGCTGCCCTCCTGTCATTCCTCTCAGGTTCTAGGAAATGAGTTTACATCTGACAGGGTCTCCTGGCTTCTTCCCAAACGTTAGGCGACATAAGGAACCGCCTTCAGAAAATCCAGGAGAGTGCAGGCTATAGGACTGGAAGCCAACAGGAATCACAGAGGCTGGGAGCCTGTCCTATACGCACTTTCTCCCTCCCCTCCCTTACTTCTGGGACCCTCCGGTGGCCCAGATGTCCTCCACCACCCCCACCTTTTATAACCCAGGCAGCTCTTCCCTCTTCTAAGGGCCTGCCTTCAAAGTCCCAAGGTACTGCTCAGCACATCCCTCTCCCTCTTCCAAAAATGTTTCTAAATGTCTGTTAACCCTGGCTGGGCATCAGGAGGAAAACCCTCTGAAACATCTGGGAGCTCTGCCCTGTTCCCACTCCTTTCTGGTGAAGGGGCTGAGAAAGCAGCAGGGGACTCCCAGGGGTGGTTCCCACTAATTCCTCCTGGGGAAGGGGGTGGGGGAGCTGGTAGCAGGAAGTGACTGGCTGAGGCACACCCAGCCATCACAAGGACAGTGGGCAACACCAACCAGACCAACATTCGTCTTATGGTGGCTCTGGGGCACTCTGATCCTGGGCCCTGTCTTTCCTCCTGTCTATCCAAGCCTCTCCTACTTTACCTTCTTCTACCAACACCAACCCTCAACCTGAGCTGCCCTTAGATGTGGCAAATTCCAAGTGTCACATAGATATTTTCTGAGCAGCATCTGGTATCTGTAAGCGCCCCTGCCCTGCCCGTGCCAGGATCTGCAGAAGAAACACAGATGAACACCTACTAGTCACAGTGAACTTAATCTCGCTGACTCCGTTGTCTAGGCTATAAAATGGGGATTTTAGAAACACCCAACCTTGTAGAGCTTAGATGAGATACGGTACACAGCATCTGGTCAAACACCTGGTTCATAGGTAGCTGCTCATGAAATGTCACCTCTTTCCCCTGAATCCTGAAGACTTGGGAACCCATGATAAGCCATAAAACCTAAGTGACAACCAAGAAGCAGAGAGGGAAACGCTATGGGAGTTCAAGGGAAACAGAGACTTCTTGGTAGAGGATTGAGCCTAAGAGACCTTGCAAGAGGGAGTCCCAGGAGAAAGGCGGGTCAGCAGGTGTGAACAAAAGCGCTAGGCTCCGGACACACTTTCCAGGCCCTTGGAGACTGCATCCTTCAAACCACGGGCCAGGGCCCATCCCAGCTGTTCCTGAGCTCACCAGCAGGGGAGCCTCATGTCCACCCAAGACAGGCAGCTCGAGCAGTTGTCAGAATCAGGAGTGGGAAGGACAGGTGGGCCTTTAGTTCCTTCCTCTGCCTCCTCTCCCTAGGCCGGCCTACTCATCTTGTGGGGTGGGGTCTCTGGAGGGCAAGAGCATTAGAGAAGCAGACAGAGGGCAGAAGGACTAGCCGAAGGAGAGAGGGTTGAGCCTCGCCCTAGTTTACACACGCATGCATGCATTAGCTGCAGAGCTCACTGACCAGACTTACGCTGCTCCCGGCAAATCTCATCCCTTCCCTTTCTTTGGTGGAGGGAGGGAGGCTGAGGATTCCCTTGCTCCAGAGACTAAAATAAAACAACAACAGCCAGGAGTAAAAAGAAGAAGGTGCCAACTAAGATGTGTCAGGGACCATGGACCTGGCAAGCAGAGATGCCAAGGGACAGCAGCTGACCCAGGCCCTCCCCCAGTCAATTAACCAACACAAACTTACCAACCCCTTCTCTGCCCCCCAGCACCGTGCCAGGGCTGTGGGGAATCCACCCTCCTGCCCTGCCATGGCAGCATGAACAGATAGAATTGGGTCAGGTCCCCATGAAAAGAGTGAGCAACCGCAGGGCACACTGGGGCTGAGTGAAAGGTAGAGTTAGTGCCACTGGGTTTCGGGAGGACTTGCAGGGGAGGCAGGATCTAAGCTGGACCAGGAAGGATGGTCGAGCGAGCATGGCTGAGCACAGAGGAGGGCAGTCTGGGAAGAGGGCCGCATAAGCAAGTGCACAGGGGTAAGAAGGGTTTGAGTTGGGAGGAGCCAAGCACACAGGTGGGAGGGGCTTGGAGTGAGAGGGTCTGGAAGGTCCAATTGGGATGTACAGTGGAGGACAACCATTGAAGGTTCCGAGCTTGCTCCCCTAGGAGCCACTGAAGGTTTTTGAGCAGACCAGTGACATGACAAGAACAGTGTTCCACGAAGATCGATCTGACAACTCTGTGAAGGACGGAGACAAAGGACCAGTTAGGAGGCGATTGTAACAGTCTCGCCGAGGGCAATGAGGGCCCCAAACAGGAGGTACTGGGCATGGACCAAAGAGGTGGTTGTCAGGGGCACTGTAAAGACGGATCAGCAAGGTGCTGGCGACAGATGCCACGCAGAGGACAGGGAGGAGGGCGGTTGCAAGGGTAAAGCAACCAGCCCAGACCTCTCAGGCTTCGTCGTGGGAAAGAATAAAGCGGCCAACTTTATGGCAAGATAAATGTTGATGTTCCTTTAATTCTTACAATAACTCCATGGGGTCGGCACTATTAATAGCCCTGCTTACAAATGAGAAAACTGAAGCAAGAAAAGTGATTTAAGTTGCCTGGGGTCATGTTTTAAGTGGCTGAATCAGAATTCGAACTCTGGCAGTTGGGATCTAGGGTCCCACCTGGGCTGAATAAATAAGCAAAGTGAAGGCTCTCTGGTCTATAAATTTTCATGTCCCAATTCGGAACACCTTAACTACTCTCTCCCTCCCCTGAAAAGCAGCAGTGTAAAGAAGTCAAGAGCATTGAAATTCCTTTTCATCTGTCCTGTGGGCCTTGTTGGGCCTAATCCTTGGAGTTCAAGTCCGGAGCCCAGAAAGGATCCTGTCTGGCATGGCGCAGCTCCACGGTGCCCGGCTCACCACGGTGTTTCCCAGCCCCGGGCCAGCCCCTG